TATTTCAAACAAGAGTTGATAACCAAATGCTGGCAAATGTAAGAATCTGTGTGTCCTTTAGTGCCTATTTAAGCAAGTGTTGATCCCTGTTTTAAAATGTATTAAAAATATATTTTTATTTCAAGGTTTATTTTTTTTCTTCTTTTTTTATTATTTAAGTTCTAGTTAGTTAACATACAGTGTAATATTAGTTTCAGGTATACAATATAGTGGGGATTCAATATTTCTGAAAAGTGTTTGTTGTCATTTTGAACCTGAGTATTTTTTTTTTTTACTATAGAATCAAATTGTTATGATTAACTTGATGGTTTTCATTTGCACTAAACATGGTAATAGAATATACATGCTTTTATGTACATTATCTCTCAGATGAACCAGTAGTACTTGTGCTCACAAATGTAAAAAATGGTTTTCATTTTATTTCAGTTAACAATTCCTGCTCAGTATTGACATTTTCATTAAAAGTGTAATTTGCTCTTTTGGCACATAGTTAATATTGTTTTGCAGATTATATAATTGTTAAAATCTATGATGCTAAGAAAGCAACAATTGTGGACATTTGTAGTAAACATGTGCTCTTAAAATGCAAATATCACTTAAGTCTAATCTGAAGTGCCTGAAAGAGAAAAATTATTCTTAATAAGAAAATCTTGTACGAGGGGTGCCTGGGTGGCTCAGTCAGTTAAGCATCCCACTCGTAATTTCTGCTCAGGTCATGATGTCAGGGTTGTAAAATGAGCCCTGCCTTGGGCTCTGTGCTGGTTATGGAGATTAAGATTCTCTTAAGATTCTTTCTCTTCCTCTCCCTCTGCCTCCCCACCGCCACTTGCTCACTCACTCTCTAGAAAAAAAATAAAAAATCTTGTAGCAAATACTGTACAAGTCTTTTATGTGCTCAATCTCATTTAATCCTAACTACAGTGCTTCTGTTTACAGAAAAGAAACTGAGGCTCAAAGAAGTTACTTCTCCAAGGTCATTTGATATTAAATAATGGAACAGAAATTCAGCCCTTGTTTTATCTGATTTTACAGCCCATGTAGAACATGTCACACTTGTTCAGATTTTCAGTGAAGACTTATTGACATAATGTTAATTTTTAAAAATAAACATTGTATCATATTCATATTCTTGATACCTCCTTCAGAAATGGCGAGCTGATGGCAAATTTTAGTGTGTAAATTTATTGCAATCAACTTTGGACCCAAGCCATATCTGACCTATTAAAATTGAAATATATGGGCTATTTTAGAGCCAAATATTCCCATCATTGTGTCATGTATATTTAAAAACAAAACAAACAAAAACTATTACCACAGCTGCACTTTGTCAAATATAAGAAGTTTTTTGAATGGGAGCAAAATAAGTCAAGATAAAAGGAGAGATACACTACTGACATTTATCAGATAAATAAAATGATGTATTTTTTTTCTCCATCTAGCACACATTTTGTAGCTATGGAATCTTGAACCTCTTCTCCTTTAAACCACAGTTTTTCCCACAAACCTTTCTGTTTTATCATTTTATAATGAATATATATCCACAAGATATCATGAAACAAACTCTTCTTGGTATACAGGTTAATTATGTTTATAAGAAAATGCTTACTTATGTATGATTTATTCTAACATTTTTGAGGGACATTCATCTAGATTTCGTGAATTCCTATATTTATGAATGCCATTTATATTCATAGTTCCTCCCTCCACAGCTAACAATATATGTAACTAAAAGTGAGAGAAACCTCTTTAGAACCTTAATGATCCTGGGGCGCCTGGGTGGCTCAGTCGTTAGGCGTCTGCCTTCAGCTCGGGTCATGATCCCAGGGTCCTGGGATCGAGCCCTGCATCAGGCTCCCTGCTCCACGGGTGGCCTGCTTCTCCCTCTCCCACTCCCCCTGCTTGTGTTCCCCCTCTCACTGTGTCTCTCTCTGTCAAATAAATAAAATCTTAAAAAAAAAAATCCTTAATGAGAGTTTGAAATGGATAATAATGAAATAATAGCAAACATCAGTGTTGCTTTGAAATAGATTTGTTGGCTATCTGAGATTCAAATTTTCTAACAGCCCATTAACAAATTACTAATTTAATTTAGAACTTTATGGATCATTCATAAGTTGTCAATAGCCTTTTTGTATCCTTTATATAAAGAGATTGAACTAGATGAGCTCTAAAGTCTCTTCCATTTCTAAGATTTGTTTTTAATTTTACATTTCAGTGCATTTCCACATGGTTTAATCTCTGATAATGCCAAGGGTATTTTGATTTTAAAGATACCAATAATAATATCTAAGTCATGTGCTAGAGAGAGAGGAGGATAAGGAGGACAGTGAGCAAGAGAAAGGATGTTTCTTTACTGCCAATGAATGTTAAACTGTGTTTTCTTGTTCAACATTCTCAGTAGCAAGTAAGGAAAGAAATTTTGGTTATATGTTAGAAATTGGGATGTGCTATTTTGCATTGTTAACCTATTTCCCAAAATGATATTAACCAGGAGAAAAGGTAACATTTTGAAACTCTGTGTGAAAATCTCAAGACATTGAAACTCTGTAAACTTCTGCTTTAACACTGTAGCAACTCATGCTTGTTGGATAATAGAAGGTGTCATATGATACCCTGAACTTTTTCTTGCCATACCTTAATATGAGAACACCTTCTGTTCTGACCTTCACTAAAGAGTAAACCTTGCCATTGCCCTCCCCCCCCAAAAAAAAATTCCCCCACCCAATCTCTACTTTCACACATGGGAGAAGAATCAGTTTCAAATTTACTATAACTCAAACCATTAAGGACTTTATTTGTCCAAGACAACACCTTAGTTTATACTCCAGATACTGCTAAGCCTCCAGTGGAAACTCTGAGCCTTAGGTGTAATGCACTCCATATGCTTCAACATACTGCATAGGCAGACAATTGGATCTTTCACATTTGAGTTGGTTCACATAAGTTGCAAATTGGAGATAGCACAATAATATAAGTTTAAAGCAATGGATGTTACTTAAGAATAGTAGTTTCTAAGGCAGAGATATAACAAATATAATCTGTGCGTTTGACATACACTACTAGCCAATCACTAATTATGGAATGATTATGTCTATACATAATGGAATTATTTAACATATATATGTTTTATTCAAACCACAAAGGCTTTTTCTACTTCATAGGACACCTTTTAATTATATAGAAATAAAAATGTCATTTTCTTTCTTTCTTTTTTTTCTTTTTAAAGATTTTATTTGACAGAGAAACAGTGAGAAATGGAACACAAGCAGGGGGAGTGGGAAAGGGAGAACCAGGCTTCCTGCATAGCAGGAACCCAATGCGGGGCTCGATCCCAGGACCCTGGGATCATGACCTGAGCCGAAGGCAGACGCTTAATAGCTGAGCACCCAGCCGCCCAAAATGTCATTTTCTTGACTATAAAATTGATATATATTCATTACTCAAAATTAGAAGACAGCTTTAAGACCAGCCAGAGATAACAGTAAACTGTCATTCTGAGTATGTCTTTTGATATCACATATGTGCATATCTGTGATCTACGTAACAAATATAGTATAGACATAACAAGATGTATGATGTGATTATATTTGGATCATCTTTTACATATGTTTGTAACCTGTTTTTTCTTGCATTATATCATAACTGACTTTCTATACTCTTATTTTAGAACATGATTTTTAATAGTTGCACTGTATTTATCATAATTTGCCATAAAGCATTTAATCAATTTTTATTATTTAATATATATTTTCAATACAATACATGTTTCAGAGACTTGGTTATACACAAACTTTTTGATATATCTGATTATATATATAAATCTTGAATTAACTTTGAATACATTCATCTGGAAGTGTAGACTCAAAAATTAACATTTTATGTATTGCTAGTTTTATCTTGGCTATCTGTTTTAATTATATAAGTCTATCAGAGAAAGACATGTATCATATGATCTCACTGATATGAGGAATTCTTAAACTCAGGAAGCAAACTGAGGGTTGCTGGAATGGTGGGGGGTGGGAGGGATGGGGTGGCTTGGTGATAGACATTGGGGAGGGTATGTGCTATGGTGAGTGCTGTGAATTGTGCAAGACTGTTGAATCACAGACCTGTACCTCTGAAACAAATAATATATGTTAAAAAAAAAAAAAAAGATAGTAGGAAGGGAAAAAATTCAAGGGGGAGAAATCGTTGGGGGAGACCAACCATGAGAGACTATGGACTCTGAGAAACAAACTGAGGGTTCTAGAGGGGAGGGGGTTGGGGGGGATGGGTTAGCCTGGTGATGGGTATTAAAGAGGGCACGTATTGAATGGAGCACTGGGTGTTATATGCAAACAATCATGGAACACTACATCAAAAACTAATGATGTAATGTATGGTGATTAACATAATAAAAAAAGTAAAAAAAAAATTATACTCTTACCAGTAGTGTATGAGATGTATTATTTCTCTAAATTCTTGTCACCATAACCAATTTGTTTTTTAAACTTTGTCATTTTGGTAGGTAGAAAATGCTATCTTTTTTAACGTGTATTTTCATTATAAGTAAACATGTAGTATTTTATATTTCTTGATCATATATATTTCTTCCTTGATAATTTAGCAGTGTGTGTCCTTTCTCCTTTTCCCATTTGATAATCTGTTTTTCTAGCACTGAATTCTCTAGGGGTTAGATCCTTTTAATTTTGTTTGTTTCAAGTTTTTATTTAAATTCTAGTTAGTTAACATATAGTGTAGTACTGGTTTCAGGAGTAGAATTTAGTGATTCATCACTTACATGTAACACCCAGTACTCATCACAACAAGATCCTTTTTAGATTCTATTAAATAGCATTGTGCTGTTCAGACCTTATGGAGATGTTTCTCACAGCTTTTTTTTTTTCTAATTTGGATTCTTGATAAATACGGGCTTATAATATTAAAATATTATCCACTAAAAATATTTCTGCAATTATAGTTTTTGGCAATCTAACCTTACATGTTTTTTAAAAAATTAGAAAATCTGAAGAAATTGAAAACTAGACACTTGAAGACTGAAATAAAGAAAGTAATGTGGCTCAAATATTTGCCCCTGGAATATGCCTCTCAAATGAATTAATGGACCAAGGAAACACAGGTATGGTATTTCAGGGGCCATTTTATCAGACTGATTGTATGTATTAAAGATGAGTGGTTTTTCAGGTTGTCTCCCTAGAACCCTTTGTTTCTTTGTAGGTGCCACACACACAGTGGTAGGTGAGAAGAGAAAACACTAGGCAGGGGGTACCAGGTCCCCTTTACCTGTATATGTCATAACTGTTGTGCTTCTCACTGGTCACTTTATAGAGCTGTATTTTTGTAATGAATCCTTTTTTAAAAAGAGAATTTATCTGGTAATTAAGATTTACTGCTCCAGAAAGTTTTCATATCTTTATGTGAAATTATCTTGTTATATCAGGTTTTACTATAAATCACCACAAAACCTTTCAAGAACTAGGAAGAGATTCAGTTCTAAAATAAAATGGATTTTATTTTTTATTTTTTTTTAAGATTTAATTTATTTACTTGACAGAGAGAGAGATCACAAGTAGGCAGACAGGCAGGCAGAGGGAGAGGGAGAAGCAGGTTACCTGCTGAGCATGGAGCCCGATATGGGGCTCGATCCCAGGATGCTGGGATCATGACCTGAGCCGAAGGCAGACACTTTACCGGCTGAGCCACCCAGGTGCCCCTAAAATAAAATGGAATTCAATCAGCATAATAAGAGATAGCGTTCATATATGTTTCCTAAGCTATATCAGATTATTCAGGTATAGATGATATAGCAGTATCTGGACATTACCCATGTAACAATTAACTTTTAGCATAGTTTATATATACCAAATATTTGAATCAAGCATAAGTTAAGTACATAGATATTAAATTTTAAGTTCTAGGTGTTACTTGTTTCAGGGATATTGTTTCATTGTTATTATGTCTTATTGTTTGGAGTTGAGAAAATTACATATTTCAACAGAATTGAGAGTAGGATTAATTCAGTTTCATTGTTTCAGTGTTTCATTGGATTAATTCATTGTTTCATTGTTCAGTTTCATACCACTAAAAATTTCTTATTAAAGAAGTGTTCATTACCTCTGAAACAAATGCTAGATCCAATAAAGCCTAAAATAAAAGATGCCAAATAAATTTACTCCAAGGTACTATAATTAAGCAGTGTCATTAGCTTCTTTCTTATTTCTTAATAGTCCTTTTGGCCATAATGAAGAGTTTCTGTCATTCATCCCAGTATGAGTTTTAATCATATTTTGAAGGAAATAGAAGAATCAGGTGAAAAGTGTACAGCCTGAATGTATGACCATTATTTACAAAATGTTGAGATAATTAAGGTGCAGTTATCATTAGCACGGTTTTTACTCATTCAACAAACATTTATGGAATTTGTTCTAGGATAAGATGTCATGAGATATTATTAAAGTGTTAATTGGGGGAAAAGTGGAATGAATGGCTAGATATAAGTAAATACTCCCAAATTTTCTTACAGGGACTCCTTTTTAGACAGTACAAGATCCTCAAGACAGATGATAATGAAAATTATCATAATAATATCTGTCATTTGTAGACATACTTAATAGACTTAGGTTGATTTGCTGGATTATATCATTTGTCAGTGTGAAACTATAGAAATAAATATCTTTATTTAGAGATGAGGAAACCTAGGTACAAAAAAGTTAATCTTGCCATGATCAAAGTGCTATTAAGTGGCAAAAACAAAACACAACCCAGGGTATCATCTTCAGAGCCTATTCTGTGAACCATTACAGAATGGACAGTATTGATTGAAAATAACAATATCTGACAGTGAATGAATCTCATTTACACAGAGATTTGTGTCACATTATGACTGTAGACATTTGAAGGCAAATTGCCCCAAAGAATTTGAACCGTTGTCATTACATATGGACATGAATGTTCTAGTTCCAATGAAAATTAGTAATAGATCTCTGCTCTAGAGCAAAAATCAGAGCAAAATATACAAAAAACAAAACTGAAGCTGGGTTGAGCATTTATCAGTAAAATTTTCTTTGCAGTTATATTGCAGATATACTTTTCTGATAGCAACTTCATGGGTACTAAAGCCTAATGATAAAGTGAAACTTACAGATCTAAGTGCTCTGGTGAGTAGAATTATTGAGTGTTTACTCTGTGCCAGACACTTTGTTGGAAAGCACCAACATAATATGCCAAGGAGATTCCAGGAATATATTGTTTAGTGGTGTGAATTAGGCCTATTAGGAGCAAATTGAAGTTTGCTAACTCCTGATGTGGCCGAAACATTTACTGCTCACAAAAGAGCCATATGCTTTAGAATATTTCCCAGTCCCCTTACAGGTCTGTCAGGCTTGGTTCTGGCCTACAAGCTATTCACATGTATTATCTCTGCATCAAAGTATGTAAGACCACGTATATAACCCTCCACATCTCTTTTCCCCTGCTGTGGTATTTTGGAGAAACATGTTGAGTGACTAATTCACAAAATCACTTGCTAAGTGGAGAGCCAACCATCTTATATCAGAATTTGTAGGAATAAGAAATAAACTTTTGTTAAGGTTTAAGATACAGAGCTTAACCCATTGTGACTGCATCATCTAGTCCATCATGGATAATACACATGGCTCTTCTTTTTTTGCAAAGACTATTGCTAAATGAACTCTTCCAAGCTTATCAACAGTTAGTTAATAATGATGCTCCTGATGCACAAAGGAATAGCTGAATGTCTTCAAATAGGATGTTTTGCCACTCCAGGAATTTCCTGTGTTTCCTTGAGATTTTGTTCGGGAGGTTTCCATGTGTGGTACCACATTGTGAAACTCCTAATCAGGGGGTCAAGAGGATCAATTTACAGAGATATTTCAGATCCTACATCATTTTGACAGATAGATATGTAATTTGGTACCTATTTGCAAGGAGGTGGGGGATGAGAGAAAAATTTAAGTAGCATCCTCTAGATCAGTGCTATTCAAGAGAAATACAATGCAAGTCACATATGTAATTTTAAATGTTCTAGTAGGTACATTTAAAAAGTAGAAAGAAAATTAACTTCAGTAACATACTTTTGGTCCAGTGTATCCAACAATTATTTTATTTGCAAACAGTTATTAATTTCACATGGTCTTTGAAATCATGTGAATTAATCTCACGTGAAGTCTTTTAATCTTAAAGCACATCTTAATTTGGATGAGTTACATTTCAGATGCTCAACAGCCACATGATGATGTATTCAACACTGCAGCTGTAGATGCATTTTAAATTTATTCCACTTTTTGTTAGGCATCTTGTTAGGTACACTCACAACCTTGTCATATTTGTTCATTATAATATTCTTTTGCATTAGTAAATAAATGAATGCACTCGCAGAGTTAGAAAGTGACAGAACTAAGGTTCAAAGCAGCCCTCCCTCCTGCCTCTGGAGATAGAGCAGTGCGCAGGGCGAGTGGAGTACCATTGGGAGTCCTGTGTAATCCAAGCAACAAGGGCGAGAGCCCCAATTAAAGTAATGGCATTGGTGATGTAGAGAAGGATGGAGTTAATGAATATTCAAGTAGAATTGGGACTACTCTACTTGATGATTGATTGCATATTGGGGAGGGGTAGAGAGAGAGGTGCTTGTTGGGGGTGGGTTCTTCTAACTTAAACAACCAATTTGTCAGATGCTGTTTAGAGAGGGACTGACATGAGCCTTTTAATCTTAAGTAGGATTTAGCGATTTTTGATCACTGAAATTGCCTGTACAGTGCAAGGATTACCCACTTTTTTTTTGTTTTAACCATGTCTATATTACGTTTGGTCACAAATGCCAGAAGATAATGGCATCTGCTAACTATTTTTTTTAAAAATGAGTCTACATAAAGAACTACACATGGATTGGCAAGTCTTTAACATTATTATAGAAAGAGGAACACCAATAGCTAATTCAACAACCTCAGATATACAGAGTGTAACATTTACTAGCTTTTGTGTGCTTCTTTATGTCTTTTAAAAAGATATTCAGCTTTGTCACCACACATAAAACAGTGGAGATTTTTACAGAGTTTTCTAATTATGTGTTTATCTTTGGGCCTGAAAGAACGATTCCAAGTGTTGCCACCTGGGCATTTGTCTTGGCAAAGTCTATCAGATGATGATATGTCACATACTTTGGAAAATCTGATATTAAAAATGCAAAGGGACTCAGCTTTTTACTCTGATCCAATCATATTTTCACTTAAACAGTATAGGATACAAGATTTGACTAAGAACAGAACTTGTAGGTATCCGGGCATTACATAAGCTATTGACAGGTAATGCTGGTCCACAGATGAGAACTGTTATGAAACAAAATGTAACAATTATCCTGAAAACTCATAATTGTGCCATTTTTATTTCTCTGTATTTACTACATCATGGAAATATTAAAGTTGTTTTCAATAAGTAGAGGTGTTACTATATTTGATTATGGGTGAAATTTATTTAAATTGACTTTGATATGTCTTCATAGAAACATTAACCTCACTGCAACCAGCACACATAATCATAATCAGATCACTATAGATGCTCTAAATTAGAGGAAAGAACTGTCAGGTTTCCCATTACTGTGTAGCCTACTTTCAAGATCAGTAGTAAGTTTTACTGTATTTTATCATAAAGTATTCCAAGATTGTTTTGACTTTTTTAGTCATAGCTCTGTGTCCCTATTCATGATTTATCCCTCAAGAGTTCATCATTAGAAACATGGAGTTGGACCAAGGTGGTTCCTGCCTCTCTGAGATTATTAGGCAAGAATCATGCAAAATGAATAGGTCAAGTAGGAGGAAAGAATCTTCTGAGGTCACTCTGTGTTGAAGAAGTTGCATCTAGTATTTATACATTCTTACCTAATATAGAGAAAGCTTCACTTTGATCACACGTCTCCTTAATTGGTGACAATTGTTAGCTGATGGTATGAGTAAATGCCTTATGCTGGGCCCTTGGGCTCAGAACTGATACTCCTTTTGAGTTCTGGTTAGTTTTTGATTCTGTTGGATTCCCTTGTACTTTGAAGTGCTCAAAAATGCAGTTGGCCCAATAGGTTTCTTTTTTTTTCTTTTTTCTCAGCCACTGAGAGCTTTTGAAAACCAGTTTATTCTCTTCCCATATACTGTTACCCCAACTTAGCAGGATTCATTCTCTAAAAATAAATAAAATTTAGAAAAACAATTGACTACAATGAGTTTCAGATTACAGATTTGTAAGACAAGAAGGCAGTGATTCAGAATTTCAGACACTCAGTAGCTTGCACATGTCCAGGCATTGACCCCATCTTTACCTAACTTTCACATTATGCTTATGTGATTACTTGAAACTTTCTCAGAAGAACAGTATTTTGTTAGTATTTCTTTTATCAAAAATATGTATGTCCATTTAAACATAAACCTATGTGATTACTTATTTTTTTAAAATTCCAGTTGAACTAAAACATGTACCTGGGATCTTTTTACCATTATAAGTGAATGTGGCTTATGAATTACATATTTGTATTATCAAATATAGAACTGTTTTTCATATATTTCAGCTTGTCTTATTTCTCTATTTTCAAAAATCTCCACTGTTTTATGTGTGGTGACAAAGCTGAATATCTTTTTAAAAGACATAAAGAAGCACACAAAAGCTAGTAAATCCATTTCCTTGTATAAAAATACTCTATATTCTCAAAATCCTTTATAAATCTGAGTTTATCGAGGTACTAATATTAAATCCTTAAAATATTTTATTATAAGAGAGCATGTGTTTCACCTTAACTTTCTATTTTGTTTGGTACATAAGCACATTTTTCCTTTATTCCTACAAACAAAAGTGTTGATATCAAAGGCAGCTGGTGTTTCTTTGCTGAGTCAATCATATAAAACTAGAATGTGACATTAAATATTTTGGGAGAGCTATACCAACACAGCTAAAACACAGAGATTTTTTAGTGATTCAAATCATAAACCCAAGCTCAAAATGAAAGAACCACCTTAAGAATAAAACATGCTACAAACTGATGAGGCATGAAAAATAAAAACACATAAGAATAACTTACCATAGTACCAAAATTACATTAGTCATGTTAAACCCTTCAAGTTGGAAAATTTAAAACAGAAGACTAAGGTTTTACCTATAATTCCTGTGTTTAGTTTCGATTGAATTTTTTTTCTCTGAGATTTATGAACTTGTTCGAAATTCAGTCCACTTAAAAGTGTAACGTTGCTTTTTATGACATGGGAGAAATAAATGGTTTATTTCCCTTAAACTGTGGATAGAAATTTAATGCTTATGAATTTGATGGTATAGAATATATAATTTAATATATAGCATTTTATTATGGAACTGTCTTGCATTAGTGTGTCTATACTTCTTACAGGTAGATACGTAAGGGGGGCAATTTGAGATGCATACATTTATCAACAAAAAGAACATAGAAGGTGAATGCAAATGAGAATGTAGAAACTGAATGTAATTATTTCCCATGTTCATTGTAAGGAAACTTGAAAATTCTGGTTTTAAAACAGGTGGACAAGAGGAAGTTCATTTAGAAGTTTTTGAAACTTGAGAAGGTAGTCAATGTCTCTTAATTTTAGCACTCACTACATACACACCAAAGGATAATTAGAATTTTGTAAAATGTATGTGTTAAGGAATTGGAGTAATGAAAGATTGCATATATTTTGAACTTTTAATTAAATTTTATAAATTTAATCAGTCATAATCTATATTTCATGCTAGTTTTCTGAACATTATTTACTATATGATACTTGAAGAAAATCACCAATTTCTGAAAGAAATCATAAGACTATGTAGGAAGAGACAGAAATTAGGAGAACAGTATATTGGGTATTTACACTTTTTTGAAGTAATGTTTAAATATTCATTTAGTAATGTAGAAACATAACAAATTTTATTGTGAAAGCATCAATTAATGTTAGATAAAAATAGCAACTTATTTTAAAAATCAGTAAAAGTATATAGAATCACCAAATAACATGCATTAGCCATAGCAGAATTGCTCTTGAAATATTACAATGCATAATTCCTGGAGAAAGTCAGTTCCGTAGTTTTAAATATGGAGTGCATCATAAATCACATAAATTACCATTGGCTGTTTAGCATATTTTAATATATTTTCAAAATTTTTTATTTCAGAAGAATCAACTGAGGACATAACTTATTTCTTGGAGAAATGTAGCAGAAAGAATATTTTTTTGTGCAACAAAACTTTGAAAGACAAATTCCAATTTTGGCTTAATTTTCCATACTTAAATTCATATATCATGACTATATGCTACCAAGATAAATTTGTCTGGCAGATAAAATGCAAGGCAAAGTTTATAATATCTTTAACTAAAGATCATATTTAATTTTAAATATTTTTCCCATCATACCTCATGTCACAAATGTACAGAAGAATAGCAACTCTTAAAAGAAGCATTGTGATTCTTAAAATTTAAAGACATTTTTCAGATTGCTTAATTTAAGTTGTAGTCTCTGTAAAGTAATCTTAATTAAAAAAATCTCTGCCTTTACTATTGAATATTGTTTTGTTCAGCAAGAGGAATAATAGATTTACACATTTACCAAATTTAATGAGCCTAGCACGTGCTTAAAATAATTTTGATTATGTTTTCTAGAAAAGACTGGCAGCTTACATTATTCATATATTGAAGCTCTTGTTATAATGCACTGCTTGGTATCAAAACCTTGCATGAAATATTGGTAATAATAGAATGTTCTTCAGGAAAATTCAAGTATATTATAAATATAGGATAAACACTATACTATTTATAGTTTAAAATGAAAGCTATAAAAATTCTATAATAAATTTTGTAATTTTTACCATGCTTCATAATATAATTAGCCATTAAGTGTAAAAAGGTATCTTTCAATATTGGGATATAGTTGTGGACACCAAAGTAGCTGTTATAGGAAATGTTAGGACTTTTTCTTGTTATGACATTTAAAAATTTTTTCCTAAGGCCTAGAAAATAAAATTCAGTATTTTTTTCTTATTCCAAATATTCTAGGAAATGAAAATTTTGAAAAAAACTTTATGGAATAATATATTTTTGGAAAATCAGAGAAAATAAAATATTTAATTCTGGAATGCATCAAGAGCATTTTTGTTTCTTCTTTGAATCACACTTTTTCAAATAACATTTTTCTTGTATTATGCTTTCTATTAGAAATCTAGACTTCATCCTTTTTACTGATATTGTGTATTTTGGGTCTTCAATTAAAAGACCTATTCTGCTAGCTTTGTTTTAATTGTGTGCTTTTCAAAGAGGCTCCTTCTTTTTCTAATCTTTTCTGACTTTTCTTTCCCGGTCTTCTAGTCTCATAGCTCTAGAGGCAGACTGAGGCAGGTTGTAGAGAAATTTCTGGACATGTTGTTAACATCTGACACAGTAAGTGAGAAAAAACCAGCACCATCACTGGGCAGGTTCAAGGAGAATTGACAGCTCCTGGAGATGAAAAGTTTGTGTTTGCTAGTTGCTAGTTACCTGAAGCACACTGGCTAAATTCAAATCCATTCATTTCTCAGTTGCTTTGCTCCCTCTAAACCGCTGTAATGCAAACCAAAAGGGGACCTTCATGGATGTTTTCTGTTGATCTGTGTAGATCGAGTGAGTGTATCTTTCATTAGCCTGGTCTGACATTTTCCACAATGCTTTTAGTAGACAGTATTATATTATGTAAATATTTCTGGTTACTGTTTATGGAGATGGTTGCCTAAATTTCTCTTTGGATAAAGCCTTTAATGCATTCACCCATAATCCCTATAGAGGAGCTACTCAAGTTTGGGAAGTTTTGTGTTGCTCTTTGTACTTCAACTTTTAATATCAGAACACATATTGAAACCATAAACAATGAAAATTCAAAAAAATATTCTGACTATATTAGAAGAATATACCCCCTCCCTTTTTTTTTTTTTTTTTTTTTTTTTTCATTCTTAAAGAGCCAAGGGCGTGGGGAGTGGCGGAAGAAACATTCTTAAGATCTAAGCCCTGGACGCCATCCTGGGAGTGTTTAAAACCCTTAGAAACATGCAACCTGAAGAACACCCCCTTTCGAAGTCTAAAACAATATTAGATTCCCAAAACATACCGGCAAAGAAAGTCTTACCGTCAAACGCTTGCAGCAGGTTCCAGCTCAGACCCAGACTGAAAAGCTGAGCAGCTGGTGAACAAAAGTTTTAGCTTTTTTTTTTTTTAACGAAGTCTGCAAAACTAATTTCCCTCAAAATAGGGCTCAATTTCCGTTAAAGAAAGCAGCGCTTACAAATCTCAGAATTCCTGATCACCCCCACCCCATCCCACCTCTAAGCAATGGAAAACAATTCAAACTTTCACACGAATGTAAAGGTTTATTGAGAGGCCACTCTTCTGCAGTAGGGCTTAAAAAACAAGGGAGATAGGCTGAAACCTGAGGGATTGGTTGAGGGAAAGGTTCTGCCTTGGGGACACTTCTCAAAGATTAATCAATACTTTTTCCTAATTCAAACCAGATGGCTGGCCCGGTTTGCTGTCCTCATTAATCCCATTAACAACTTCAAAGACTTGGTCCCCATCCTCTGGACACGTGAGACAATGAAAATAACGGGGTTACACAGCTGGTGGCATGTTTGGGGTCCTGGGCTGGAATAGGTGAGCGCCCATCTTCTGATGCGACACGTCCCAGGCAGGACTTGACTGTTCCTGTAGCTAATTATGTGCCGCTTGCTTGCCTTGTGTAAAGGACTCTGCCCTAGCAGACAATGTCACCCCTCAAGCAAGTGGCAGTATTAAAGCCCAGCCGCCGCTCATACTGATTCACTGGTGGCAAGTTTTCTAACTCATTTTGTATGATGCAAGAGTGTAACCAGGGAGATCTGAAGCAGTACCCATGTTTAGTGAACTTTGGGGGATACTGAAGTGTAATATTTCCCAGTAAATGGAACCATGGCGGCAGGCGTGGGGGAGGGGGGAGGTAAAAGGGGTGCCATTAGTTGATTTATTTTTGAGCGGAAGAGAGGGTGAATTTCTGGAGGGAGATGAGGGGACATGGGTTGAGGTTCTGGAGGTTTGGAAAGACTGGAAATGTGCTTGCAATATACACATCACATGTGACCAGGACGATATCGCTTCGGGTTTTCCTGACCGAAAAGTTTTGCGTTGACAAATGGCTAGGAATTTGACGTGGACCAGGCGAGCAAGAGGATGGACATTGTGCAAAGCAGGAAAGGTATATACGGAAAGCCAAAGAAGAAAGACCCCACCTGACACCGCAGGTGAGGATGCCCGCGTCTCTGGACATCTGCAACTATCGCCGCCCCACGCTTTTCTCCCACCCATCCCACCAGGTCTGTCTCTTTTTGGCGCTGAGAATGGCCCTTTCCTACCCGCGGGGCACTTCCCAGAAACCTCGGATGCCAGGTCCAAGCCCATTAACAGCCCACAGGGAGAAAACAGCTGCGAAAAACTAGATGCGCCACTTAGCCCAGGGCACGAGTTGATACTGAGTTTGAAAAACTTGGCTGAGCGCGCGCCAAACTAGCTGATCTTTTCCCTTAATCCTTCTTCCTCTTTCGTGCTCCTCAAGAGCTAGGCGTAACCCTAGCTTTCCTGGAGGTGACAGTGCCCAAGTGGCACTGATAAGACAGCTTTCTTAAGAGAAGTGAGCGGGTCGGACACTGGGTGCAGAGTTGGGGCTGGCGTGCGCGGAGGAGCACCTTGGCCGACCGGGCCAGGAGAGGAGAGCCGCTGTCCGTCCCGGCTCGGGTTTAGGCGCCAGGCGCGCCGCTTGCAGCCTCGGCTGCTGGCAAGGGCGGGCGGGCGTGGACGCACTGCGTACGTCCAGCCCGAGATAGGAAGTGGAACTGGGAGCGCGTGGAGCAGACTGAGCGGGAGTTTTGGAGGGAGTTCGCATGTGGTCAGCTCCGGGCTCCTAAGCCAGCCCCCAGCTCACATTACACTCTGTTTATAACCTCTCAGAGCCGTTTCCCCCTGAAAGCAGTTCTCTGGGACCACCTTCTTTTGGCTTCAACCTCTCCTACTCTTGACATCTGAGTAGCTCGAAGGGAAGCTTCTCCAGGTCCGAGTGTTTATATGTAAAGGAGACTGGCCGCTAGGGCTCAGGACCGGGATTATCCGAGCTCTGCAGAAACGGCTGCTATTTGTTTGGGAGGGGGAAAACACACGATTTCCAGTGAAAAGTGACAGAGGGTGGTAGCGTTTGGAACCATCGTGAAGTCTTCTGCTTGGAACCCGAGACTTGCATGCTATGGAACACCCGCTCTTTGGCTGCCTGCGCAGCCCTCACGCCACCGCGCAAGGCTTGCACCCGTTTTCCCAGTCCTCTCTCGCCCTCCATGGAAGATCTGACCATATGTCCTATCCCGAGCTCTCCACTTCTTCCTCGTCTTGCATAATCGCGGGATACCCCAACGAGGAGGGCATGTTTGCCAGCCAGCATCACAGGGGGCACCACCATCACCACCATCATCACCACCACCACCACCAGCAGCAGCAGCACCAAGCTCTGCAAACCAACTGGCACCTTCCGCAGATGTCCTCCCCCCCGAGTGCGGCTCGCCACAGCCTCTGCCTCCAGCCGGATTCGGGAGGGCCCCCGGAGCTGGGGAGCAGCCCGCCGGTCCTGTGTTCCAATTCTTCCACCTTGGGCTCCAGCACCCCGACCGGGGCCGCGTGCGCGCCAGGGGACTACGGCCGCCAGGCGCTGTCACCCGCGGAGGCGGAGAAGAGAAGTGGCGGCAAAAGGAAAAGCGATAGCTCAGGTAAGCGCGCACCGGGCACTGTCGGCGAAAGGGGGCGGGGAGATGACAGAGAAGATTCTCGCACTATAGTGAGGCAGCAGGGATAAGGTATATGTCTTGCCCTCTCTGGCTCCCCGCCGGCAAATTCGATGGGGCTGCTTTGGTCCTGTTATTTGGGGGCACGTGTTTCTCCAAGGGCAGCACTGCAGTCAACAGCGCTAAGCTCTCCGAGGTTCAAACTAGTTTACCAGAGGGTTAAGAAAAAAGGGCAAGTGACAGTATGTGAAATCGATTGCGAAGCGTGACCTTCCATCTGAGCGGTGAGGAGGGGAGTGCAGCCTGGGATGCAGCGTCCGCTGGGCGTGCGTGCGGGTGCTGCTCCTTGACTTTTCACTTGCAAATTCCCGACTCCGAGTGGCTCGATTTTTCCCATCGTTAACTGGGTTTCCAAATTATTGCACAATATTTGGAACTTGCAGTGGAACTTGGCAGAACGTATGAGAAAAAAAAAAGTTTTAGGTTTTTTTTTTTTCCCCCTTATTCTGATTTCAGAGTTCTTTAAATAGCACCCTATTCCAAATGGTAAAAATTTCCCTTTCTTGGGGAAGAAGACAATCTAGGAATTCAGAGGATTTTAAGGAATGTATCAAAGAATGGTAAATAAATACATGTTCAGACTCTTGAAGAAAAACGATTTTTAGAAGTAGTTGTATTTGTGTGGTGCTAATCTAAATAGATAATCTGAGTTTCAGAAGTGGAAAGTAAAATCTCCTTCGGTTCAGTATTATTGGAGGCAAGTATTTGCAAACAAACAGCAGCCCGGAGTAGTGCTGGTTCTCTACGTGCTTGAGGCTAGTATGCGAGGGTGTGCGCAGGAGGCGCTGATCTACGTGGGGATAACTTGAGTAGCCACGCAAAAGGGAACCTTATAAAACGCAGATGCTTGAAAGTCCAGACAGCCAAGTAAACTGTAGCAATCCTGAGAAACTAGTTTTTCGGGCAGCTCCTTAAAGCCCTTAACAATCTGTATCATCATTAAATTGTTAAAAGATACTTTACAATTAAGGGAGTTGTGCATTTGTTTTCTGTAGCTCTAGCGTATGCTGCGTTCCATCTTTTTGGAAAAGTGTCATTTTTTAAATATAGTATTTACGTATTTTTCTTTCTTTGTGGAATTGGTTTAACAGTCCTAGAAGGTAATTACAGATATTGATGTGAAGGATTGGAAAGTGTTTGTTTTTCACAATGCTTTAGGTAAGATCCCACGTAAATGGCAATGATTGAGCGGCATATTTCATGTTCCTTTGCAGCGATGGTATCAGTTGTTCTTCAGCGTTAGTATGAGGTGGATTCTTCTATCACACACTTAAAATCTAACTTTTACTTTCCAAGGTCAGGGGTGAACTTTTAATGCTCCATCACAAATTAGTTTATATCTAAGAAAGTTACCAGCAGTATCATTCATTTTTAATGGTTTTTACTAACAATACATGAAACTCTCTTAAGACAGAGTTGAAAGGTTTCCATCTTAATTTCTTTAAAAAAAAAGTCACTTAAATGCAGTGTTCATTTCCTGGTTCAGCATTTGGTATCAATGTAACTTTTTTGGAAGCAGATCCCAATTCAGGTTGGTCAGTCCAATTTTTGCAATTAACAGAGGCTCTTACTGTTCATTTTACTTTCTGCAGTGAAAAACCTGTGATAGACTGTTCCTTTTGCTTCTGAACTGAATCAATGCACCTAAGCTTCTTAGGGTAAACTGAATTTTCATTTAGGCACATATTATTTTGGTTAGGGGGAAACAAAAAAAGTGGGATCCAAGAACTGCTTCCCTTAAATTATTTTGATAACAAGTTTCTTAAGAAAACTGGTAATACTAATAGTGCTATCCTCTTTTGGTGGGAAATAACCATATAATGAAATAAGTTTATATTGACATGTTGAAACTAATTAGAATACTGGAAAAACAAACACAAAAATTTGCATCAGCTACATAAAGTCTTAATCAATTAGATCTTGAGTGGGAAATACAATTAGCCATCATCAAGGATAAAATCACTGGGGAGTTAGAATGAGCGTTTTCTATTCATGATGGGATATTTTGAAAGAACTTTTTGACTAACTAAAAGGAAATATCATGATGGGTTCCAGTTAAATATATGTGTACTCATAAATTTAATTTGGCAATTTCACTATTTGAGTTAATATATGTTAGATCTTTAGATAGATTTAGATTCAAGATATCTTTCTCCTGGGATATTTCAGTTGGTCTTCCATACTTATGTTTATTTCATTTCATAGTATTATAAGGGCATCCTGATCTAGCGGGAACTAAAGCAATGTAGAAAATCATATAATTGCTTACTGCACAATTTTAATATTTCAATATTTCGAAAAATTAGATTAATTTCTGAACTCTCAAAAGTTTAAAATTGTATTAGATGAAAATTATATCATGCTTAGTAGAGTTTACTTATATTTTGTTAGGAAGTTTATAATTACTATGTATTTATAATCGAAAGTAAATATAGTACACAAATCCAGGACAAAGTCAGAACCAAAATTCTTTATCCTTGCATATAATACCCAGATTGTCTGTGTATGTATATGTGTGCATGGCCCTATGAAATTCAAATAGAATTTTAAGCAACAGAAAATACTGAAAAATGACCCAAATTTTTATCCATCGTAGTGATGCTAAAGCTACAATGTGTAACATTTTCCAGTATGCCTTTACATGTATTTCTCCTCCCAAACACACATATATGCAAACTCAAGAAGCTTAAGGGTCTAGAAACAAATATTTACGGACTTTGGGCTTCCATTATAGTTTATTGACAATTGAAAATAGCCAAGTTTAATGGAAAAGCACACTGTTATTTTTATATGTGTTAAACCTTTTTGCAACTTTGAACCTGCTATGCTTTCCAGCATTATTAGCAAAGCCAACATCTGCGATGTCTTCAAAGGAACTCTTAAAAATCAAAACTTTACAACTGCACTTAAAACCATCTATACAAAGCAGGTGATTCTGAAAAAAAAGTCTATAAATAGTGTGAATTACTTGGCTTCAATTACATTTGATTGTTCTTCAAGCAATGTAGTAGTAATAGGTATAAACTGTCCAGATTTAGCTAAAATAACCAAAACAGATTAGTCAATCTAACTTTAGTTTTTATGCAGGTAAAATACAGTTATAAACATGTAAATATTTCTTATTCAAATTAGTTGAATGAATATAAGTATACATTTTATAAAAAAAATCAAATTTATATTAAAAAGGAAGGAAATGGTTTGGGAATGGATTTTACAAGGTTTTGAATAATATTAGATTCTTGTAAAATTACAAATATTTATAGCTACAATATCATAAAATATCTGTTGTCAAATTATATCTGTCTATATGCTTGGCTATGCAGAATAACAAGCAAGTATTACCTTAATAAGCTGGAACTTAAATACAGAGGAATGTCTTCTCCACCCTAACTCTGGTATTATATTGTAATTTTTTCTAGATATTTCAATCATCATGTTTTCTGAAAGGAAAAAAAATACTTTATTATTCATCTCTGTGTTACTGGATTATGACTTTTCAGCATTTGCTTTAGAATTTAAAAAAAGAGTCTATTGGATCTTGATAATTATAGAGTAATACTAAACAAATTAAATGTCTCAAATCTAAGGAATAAAAGAAAAATGTCATTTAAGTCTTTTTCTTGGAGTGGTAGATTAATTTTAGGTGTGAACATTTTTAAATGGTGACCTGACATAAAAAAATTCTAAGTACCATTGACCTACATGAGTGTTTTCAAATGATTACACTCAAAGAAGTCAAGAGCAGCAGTCCCTTTAGAATTAAGGTGCTTTATTGTTGAAAGTTAGCAATGAATGGAAGGAAGAATGCAAATAAAAATAGAAATGGTTTCAAGATCTTTGTAAATATCTTTATTTATAGTTCCTTTGAAAAGGAAAAGCATTAAATGCAAGGCATGGCACTGCTAAAACTTTCATTTTGGTGGAAAACCCAGTAATGAATATTTAAAATTTTAATCTTTATTTATAGTAGCTATCAATGGAAACCATTATGTTGGCACCCCGTAAGCTGATTTCTACTAATAAACTAAAAAAACATTTTAAGTATTACCCTGTTTTCCCTCTGTGTGATGTGAAACATCGACCCTTCATTACAACATTGGTATTTATAATAACATAATGTTTATTATAAGACCTCTAAGAAATTAATTTTAAACAAAAATGAAATGACAAATGTGGATAAACTTTTTCATCAGATTCAGGGAAATTGGGGAGACTAATTCCATATTTAATAGAAAAATTAACTTTTTTTCATTTGAGAAATAACTTGTCCATGACTAATAGCTGAATAATGTAAAAATTTACCACATATAAATCTATTTCATATACCTGGCCTGGTAATGGTGCCAATTTTATTCATTTCCTATAGTAAGATATATATATATATGCTGGGCAGTTTTATTAACTATATTAAAAATGGCAGCCAGAAACAAAGATGTGAGGGCTTTTTAGATTTTCATTTCAAATGGGAAAGACCAATATAATACAATAACATATTTTCATTTTTAGGACTTGTTCACTTAAGTAGTTTATTTATAAAATTTCAGATCATGTCTCTTTTCTAAGCATTGCTATAATGATTATAAACATCTATAAATGATACATGCTAAGGATAGGAAATTATTAGAAAACAAAATATATTCAGGAATTCCTTAATATTTGTTGAGTTAATAGTTGTAGATGGTTTATCTCTCTCAAATTTTCTATATTTTTCCTATAATGTTTTTTATAATAATAAAACATTTTCTGGAAAAATATATTAGCACATGAAGTGAGACTCTCAGGAGTAGCATTTTTTCCACCTTGATTGAAATCATAAAATAAGAAGGATTAATTCTTGAGTGGCCAGTTAAATTACATTTCCTGCGTTATGGTACTGGTGACTGATTCTAGTGGTTAAAATAAAAAGAAAATTAAAAAATGATGAA